ATAAATCGATGAATAAATTCATGCTTTGTCAATTCATGGGGGGAACTTCATGATTCATCAACTATGATGGATCATGAAGTAGGACGAATTGCCAAAATGGCAGTTTATTTCCATCTCTAGTATCAGCCAATTTCCTGCTACCATCAGCATATATGGAATTGGAAATGCTATGATTACACACACAGCACAGACTAAACACTGAAGAAAAGTGTAGGATGACAACTGGCAGTTTTTAAATATATTATTCTGTTTAGAATATGGAATACACACATACACACAATACATCATCTGTATTCTAAAGAAAATAACAGTGTGGTGTGAATAAAACTGAAACCTGAGTCAAGTGAACTAGGGGAGTCATTTTAGTCATGAAGACAAAGCTAGAATATCGGCTTTCAATAATCTTTTTCTAAAGCATTTTCCAATGTCTGATCTTTATTAACCATGGTTTACAACTTTTTACATTACTTAAATGATGAACTATTTAACAGAAAAATAATATCTTCAGCCACAAGTTGGGGTGGAGGAAAGAGGCAGTAACTGAGGCCCGTTGTACTTATATGTGAATGAAACTACAGAATGAAACTGCAGAATCCTGGGGTAGGATAACAGACTGCAGAGGATTGCAGGAGGGAATACATATTTGTAAATATTCCATGATACAAAACTAACAAACAAACAATATCACTAGAACCTCTATAAGTAGGTAACAGCAGAATCTGAGCAAGCTCAGTATGACATGCTGGATTTCTTCTTACAGGCATGTGTTTGAGTGTTTGGTTGGCTGGTTTTGACTGCTTCTTGCATAAGGCCAAAAGAAGCGAGTAAAGCTGAGAGAACACAAGGGTAAGAAAAATGCAGAGGGATGATAAAAACTTCAAAAATGGCCAGAAAAGAGGTTATATGTTACTGAAGAGAAGGGGTGCAAAGTTCCATTTACTGATTTTCTCCAATATGAAGGAACCCTTTTCATACTCAGTCCTGCATGAACAAATATGGGCAAAGGGAAGAGTGAAGGATCTGTTTTTCCTTCATTTTCCTATTGCAAGGCCTGAAATGGGACGGGAGGTAATTAGGATTTTGGGAAAGCCCCAAATTCAAAGACTATACCACATGAACATTCAGTCATCTATTTCAGTTCATGTAAACCTTCCCTTTTTCTGAAATTCACTAACTCAAAGTAAAAGCTGAGAGAAAAAAGCCACAAGTAGAAAATTCAATTTTGTCACATCCTGCTCTCGGCAAATAAGTAAAGAAAATAGTTCTTCTCATTGTTTGGGATCCTTGTGTCAGAGTGTGAGATTTTTTTAACCCATTTTACTTTTTTTTCCCCTCCAGTCAGCTAAGTCTTTTATTTTTTCTTTCTCTCTTCTTATTCTATTTTGCTAACTTTTAATCCAATTGTATTAATATATTAATTGTATTTTATGATTATTTATATTTTATATTGTCCTATTTTATGTTGTAAGCCGCCCCGAGTAGACATGGTCTAGAGGGGCGGGGTATAAATTTAATAAATAAATAAATAAATAATTTTTTTTGCACAACATGATGACATGTACTAATGATGATGCCATCATTTCAAAGTGCCCTTTTTGTGCACTTTGCCCCCCAAAATGACACAACATATCCAAATGTCTACTGTTACATTCTTCTCTCTACTCTTTACAGTCTATCTCTGCATTTTCCTTGCTAACAATATGACAGTTTTGAAACAGAAAATAAAATCAAAAGGCAAATTTGCATGAAATCTGAGGTAGAGAATCCTTGGAGTTACAAGCTGTCAGGGATCATACTATTTTCTTTAAACACTTAATACAAAATGTGGCCCGGTCTTGCCACAACTGAAAGTGTCCCTATTTTTCTTGACAATCCATATTTCACACAGACTGCATTTTCTTGCACAAATAAGTTAAATGTGTGGGGAACGTCTAGCGGATTCTTGGTACTGCTGAAGGAGGAGAATCTCATTCATAGTGGAGTAAGAGTAAGTAAAAGAGACAGAAAATCAGATCAATAAATACTCTTCATGATTCCTCTTCTAGACAACCTAGTCAAGTCAAAGTGGAGCACAGAGTTCCACAAAGCAGGAAGAACAGTGTGCTAGTAACAAAAGGGGAGTATGTAATAAAAACAAAACAAAAACCTGTAACAGTTCCAGGAGTTTTCCATGGCTGGGTTTGTGTTAAAAGGTCAATTGAATCATTTCATAAAGTGCTTTTGCTGAAAAGATGAACAGGGAGGACAAAACACAAAAGAAACGACTCTCTGATAAGGCTAGGACCTTCACACTGTGATTTTAATTTTTTTGACATTTCCTCTGGAATGGACTAGCAATGGCCCGTGCTTGAGGGCTATCTAATGCAGGTTGCAGATGAAGACAGGACTCATGGAGCCTATGAAGATATGAAGGGGAAGAATTCATGGAGGAGGGGAAAGAACACTATGCAAGGGAACGTTACGCTTGCTCAAAATAATAGAAAAAAATTACAGAACAATGTGAAAATTTTCCTGTGTAAGATTCTCCATTATTTTGTGAAAAACAGGTGAGAATGTAAACAGAAAAACAACAACACAAAACAGCAATCCCTGAAGTCTCACCAGGCTGATACAGCCTGCCAGAACTTTTGAGAGTCCTAGGTAATTTTCATGCCACAATGAGGTGTCTTAGTAGAACCTTGTGGAGACCCTTTCTCTGCAAGTAAAAGCAAAACTGTATGTGAAACAGTAATGACAGGTCCAGTGTCTACGGTACAAAAAATGCTAGGAGCAGCAAATGCTTCATCAGTAGGATTTTTCCCTTGGCTCCTGGCAAGGATATTGGAAGGGAGGAAAACAATGAATCTTACATAACTTGAAAATGTATATACAGTACTCTTAATAAAATTTAAGAAAAAAATTACATCTCTTTTTTTTTTTGCACTTTTCTAATACTTTAGCATAACTATTCTCTGAATACCTGTATTACAAAAGCAATCTTGGCACCGTCATCATAATTCACTTCAGATTCTTGCAGATTTCGGAGCATGCGCTTGTACTTCAAAAAAGCTTCCCGCTTTCGAGCCTCATTATCCAACTTGCAACACATGCAACATCGGCCAACTGTGTGAGAACTAGCAGATATGGCAAAATCCGTTGAAGGCAGATACCTTTTGCATCCAAGGCAAAAATAGATGTTTTGATACAACTTCATTGGATCTGGTGGGACCTACAAAGAGATACAGATAAGCTAAGAAATCACACCATCAGGACCACATTAAAATTTTAGTCACATTCCCTGATTTGTTCCAGCCTTTCCCAGTAGCAATGGCATTCTATTTTTCAAGAGAGAAACATAACCTCAGTTCATATTCAATTGTAAATACAGATTTGTTCCCTCCATCAAATGTGCAGCCACACAAGCAGCTGAGCACACAAAGTTATTTAGAATGATGACAGTTATCTCTAGTCAACATACAGGTTTGTAATCTTCTAAGAAGGAAAAACAACACACCTTCAGTTTAAAGCAAAAACTTATGGTTGAAGCTATACCCTCCAAAAGCAAAGAAAAACTGACACCACAGATTTACTCCCTTCACTCAAAACAAAGGGATTTCTGTCCCCTTTTTATACTTTAACTTCCACCCCATGTAAATGCTACAGCAAAATTCCACTTGCCTTTTCACTCTCTCTGCAGAGCATCACTGATGGGACAGAGGAACTGAGACAAAATACAGGCTTTGATAATGGCAATATCTAGAAACAGGAAGCTGGCAGCACAGTCATATCCATAGCTGCATAATCTTTACTAGTGTAAGGCAACTAATACATATTTGGGAGAAGCTTCATTTTGTCTAATGTGATTAATCCTAGGTAAGTGGGTTTTCTTACCTTCTATGTTTACTTGGGGTGAAAGTTAAGGTACAAATAAAGGACATTGGTGTAGCCCTGTTTTGAATAGGGAAGGGTCAAATGAAAAAAATCATTCTCAAAATTTGCAAACATTTGTTCTAGAATCTGGATTCCCTCAGAATATCATTTGATCATCTCCTTCCCATTTTTATTCATTAATGAGCTATGTTTATTTTATAATGCAGAAAAAGTGACCCCCTAAAAGAAAAATCTTTCCGCATGCAAAAAGTTGGCAAATGTTGTGAATTAATCTCGGTTTCTGAAGGCCGGGGTAAGGTGGCAATCTCAAAAGGGAAGGTACTGGTCTGAGATGGGGGAGATATAATTGACTGACATTCACATATGATTTCTGTTCTATCACTTAAATATTTTATTAGCTATTCTCTTTTCACTTTTGCAAAAAGACAAATATCAAAGTCTCCATTGTTTGTTTCTGTCAGTAAGATAACATGAAAACCAATAATCAACCATAGCTATATGCTGACTAGAGCCGCTGTATAACACTTCAAAATATTACTAAAAGGTGGAATTAACAATAGTTCAAATGTTAATAAATATCAGCTAGGAAAAAACTCTGTTAAATGTATGGTGAGGTAGCTGAAACAAACAAGTTGTACTGATCCAGAATCACCTTGTAGAATCAGTGTCAGCTTTAAATCTAGTCTCAATTAAACTTAAGCCAATCTGTTCCAAAGCAGTTGGTGAAAACTGTATGCATACTGACCTTTGGTAATTGAAGAAAAATATATATATCTACAAAACAATTTTGTTAGAGCACAGCATGCAATCTGTCAAATACAATCTGTTCCCTCACACTGTACAGTAAACCCTGTGATTATGAACATATTTTTGAAGTTGGCATGTAAGGTTAAGTTCATAAGGGCTAGATACTCTCTTAAGTGATGTAAAAACACATTGCAAGCAATGAAATTACCCATATTGTCTGGGACGGTAGTGTTATTGAGATAACATGGATCTAAAGTTAGAAGATATAGAAACATCTAATAGCCTATGGCAAAATGGGAGGGCCTGCAGCTGGCCTGATTGAGACATTACTCCCTCACATGGGCCTACTTATCATAGTGACATTGCTGCTGAAGTGGCCAAGACACTCACCACTGCCTTGGGCTGCATGGAGACAATCACCTAGGCAGAACACAGGGAGGCTACAGTCCCTAGAAGAGGAAGGGGACTGGCATAATGGATGATCCCTCCACTGCCTTGACCACCTGACACAAAGAGACAATGAAGAAACATGGGGTTGGGGCAAGGCCAAGAGCGGGACATGTAAATGCTACTTTTAGGTTTTGGGGGATGACTGGAAACTGGGAAGGAAAGACACCCTGGGAAAGTTGGATGGAGTTCTGGGAAGGTGACGCGCCCCCCCCTTGACTTGAATAAGAGGTTGTGGATAGGGGAAGGCTGTCCCACAACCAAGTCTGTGGAATCAGAAGTGTCGGCCTTGCCAGCAGTGACCAAGTCCCAGGACAGCCCAATAAACAGGGAGTCCCAAAGCTTGGCAGGTGAAGACATGGAGGCCTTCTGTGCCCAGATGGAACTCCACCTTGGCAGAGGTCAACTAATGGACAAGGTCTGCCATGGCTCTCTAGCACTTAGAAGAAACCTCAAAAGTGGCATCCAGAAAGGCACTGTGGTCAGTGCCTGTATTACCATAGGATACCAGCCCTTTTTAGGGGAACAGAATCAATTCTTCCCCCCCCCTTCATGAAGGAAAGCATGGTGGAGAGTAAAGCAGGAGTCTTTTAGTCTAGGATAGTGACAACCACACTCTCTGACACTTACCTGTACTCTCCTAGTCTTTGACTTGTTGGCTGACCTACTATACCCACCTTGCTTGAATAAACCAGCTAACAGCAGAACCTGGAAGCTGCCTGCCCCATAAATGTACCATATTTCCCCATGTATAAGATAACCCAATGTATAAGACGATCTCCACTTTTCCAACCCCAAATAAGAAAATTTGATCGCTGCTTTCCCCCTCCACTTCCTAAGCTCCGCAAAAGCAGGATCAAAAGGCTACGGAAGTGGAGGGGGAAAGCTGCAATCTTAGGAAGTGGAGGGGTAAAAAAGTGATCAAAGAGTTGCAGGATTGCAGCCCTTTAATCCTGCAGCCCTTTCATTGCTGCTTTACCCCTCCATTTGGGGCTTAGAAAATGGAGGGGTAAAGCAGTGATGAAAGGGCTGCAGGATCAAAGGGCTGCAATCCTGCAGCCCTTTCATTGCTGTTTTATCCCTCCATTTCCTAAGCCCCAAAATGGGCATGCACACCCCACTCTGGATCCTGTTGCAGATCTGTGAAGCAGCAGCAGAAGCAAGAGCAGAAATGGAGGGGGTGTGTCCTGGCACGGAGGTGGCTCCAGACCCCACTGATGAGCATAGGATAGCCGTGGTTTTCTCCTCGGCTTACTTCTGTGTAAAAGACAACCCTCAATTTTTCCTCCAATGATTTTAGGAAAAAAGTATCCTTTTACACAGAAAAGATATGGTAAGAACCTACAATATTACACTTCCAGTAGGGGTCAAGGGCCAGGCAACATACCCCTGAAACAAGCTGGACATGAAATCCTATTTCAAAACACAGAAGTACTGGACAATACCAGGAATCATTATGTTAGACTACACAGGGAAGACACTGAAATCCACAAACACCAGCGTAGCTTCAACAAAAAAGAAGTCTAAAAATCAACAAAGCCTGGCTCCCAGCACTGACAAATGCAGCCTACAAAAAGGTCAATGAACTCTACCCAGCCACAAGGACCAGTGATCACTGCACACAAAATACTAGCCAACAACACCCATCAATCACTGTGACAGATCATCTCCCCCCTTATCACAACAAAACACCCATGACAAAAAACGCCCTGATCACAGAAAACACCCAGTCTCCTGAAAAGAACAAAAACCTAACCCCACAGGTACAAATACTCAACAATCCCACATGCTACATCAGAACACAGAGTTCTAGCTCCTGTCCTCTCAAGATGTTGTCCACAGAGACCGGCAAAATGTTGAAAAACCTTGGCCACAGAGACCGGCAAAATGTTGAAAAACCTCAAGAACACTGCCAAACAGGCTGAAAAACCCACAACAACCGACTGACAAACAGGCTGAAAAACCCACAACAACCATCAGATCCCAGCCATGAAAGCCTTCGAGAATGCATACCTAGCTTCCTTACACTTTCATTAATACCTCCTATTGTTTCCACATTTACATCCTTGGTGTATCCTGGAACAATGTTGTATGAATATGGGGCTCAGGGAAATTCCTTCCTCTTCCATCAGCTCCTATAGCTTCCAGACTAATCAGTGTGAGGAGTTTAACTCAACAATATATAGTATTAGTACAAATAAATGATAAACATAAGAGAAAAGGAAAATACCTTGAGAAGTCTGGCAACCTCTGGGTTAAAAAGTGGCGTTTTAATATACTGAAGAAATAAAGTACATATTCTTTGTCGAAGTCCTTGTAAATTACATTCCTTCACTGCCCGCATCATGAGGTCTGCTTCTCTGTCAATTAATTCTACTATTTCTTGTGTGAGTTTGCACTCATGTTCCTGTAAAATAAACATTTAACAAAACACCCGCAGATCATGTTTTTAATGCCGACAACCAGTTATAATAATAGATATATACTCAATGACATCTTAAATCTTAGCTCTTTGGAAAATGAGTTAAATAATATGTCTTTAGAAAAGGTATGCAGTAATCAATCATCTCTGCTTTGTGGACCGGTTGTGGAAAGTTACAGCACTGGTTTTAAAGAGTGTGGATCATTTATCCATCTATCTATGGCAAGACCTATATGACAAATTACATCTATTTTATGGAACTTTTTATGGAATTTTTGTGTATAAAGGGTGTACCATGGCTAGAGAAAACTGGGAGATGCTTCCTTCATATGCAAACAGCAGGCACAAGGAAACCACATCAAGATTTGTCCCGGGGTAACTAGTCAAGAGATAAAGATCCCTCTTGAGATCAGAGCCATCAACACAATTGCTAATTGCCATTCTCTCTTAATAAAAGCCAGAAGATTTGCCTCCTGAATGTTCAACATTCCAATCATGTAGCACAATCCTACATAAATATGTCCCAAGTGTAGTTCCAGCTGCAGCATTAAGTTTCTTTAACAATAAATGGATCAATATATACTGCACTACACTAATGCTGGCATATGAATGCAGAGTATCTGCTGGCTCTTTGAAATGCTTGGTACTTGATGATGTATCATGTATGAGCCCACTAGGGTTTTCCTAGAAGTTTGAAACATACCTTCACTGTATGCTTCAGCGTGAGCAATACATCCAGCCGTTCATCTTGAGGAAGGTCTTTCATACTAATACTGCGGTAGATTTCAAGCAATTCCCTGGCACGCAGTGTGAACTGGGTATCCATTTCTGTTATTTTGCCATCAAACGCTTTCCATTTTTTGGGTGCCGCACACTTCAGAAACATTATGAATCACAGAGTTAGAATGAATAGAGGAACAGATGAATATGGTCGAATTCTCAAGACTTACATACGATAGAGTCCTTTTACAAAGTTGACACTTTGTTTCAGGTTTTTGAGGAACAACCACTATTCCAAGAAACTTACAAATATATGAAAATCTTGCAGCACTTTCTGTCAAATTCAGTGGATTTTATGATAAAAGTTTTCTGATGAACATAAAACCAGAGGAAAATAAATACACATAGTGGGGGAAAGAGACTGCTCATTCCATCTATTATACGGTGCTGGATAATTTATAGGTTGCAGCTATGATACAATAAAAACTGTTACCATTGTTACCATTGTAAGAATTATGGCTTAATAATCTTTGCTACTTTGTGAAGCTGAATAAAATATCCTTTAAAAAATGTATCGGGGCAAGCAGAAATATCAAAATATGGAATCATTAATTCTTTTCTGAAGTACTTAGTAATTTGCAGTAAAGTTGAATTCCATATTCTACTTGAGCGATGGCTACCGACAAGTTTATATAGTACCTGCTGAATTTCAATTTGTCATAACACTATTAAAAAACAAGCCAAAATTGTTTTAAAAATCTGGTCCTAGGCTAAAGAGACATTAACAGAGTCAATGGACAACATATAACACAGAATAATGAAAGTAAATTGAATTTGTTTTGGGTCAGAAGTTACATGATGGCCCTACCTCTTATAGAAGACTTATGGGCCTCCTTTAGAATGGCCACCCAAAAGTCTCGATTGAGATGACCTTATGGCTCAGGCAGATGACATCAAGGAAAGATGCTCCAACATGTAACATGGGCCCAAACTGTGAAGGGCTTTGCATGTAAGTGTCAAAACCTTGAACCTGATATGGGACATAACAGGCAACCAGTGGAAATGAGTCAGAACTGGAGTGATATGGTCAAATTTGCTCATACCCACCACAGGTCTGGCTCCCATATTCTGGACCCACTGAAGTCTCTGGATCAGGCCCAAGGGAAACCCCACGTAAAAGGCATTGCAGGTGTCGATCCGGGAGATGACCAGGGCTTGGTTATATCAAGCACTATTCCGAATCCAAAAAGTAATATTCCCAGCCATACTCATCTGAAGAAAACTTGAATTCTCAGCCATAGCTTCCTCTTAGAAGCATAAATCTGTAGAGTGCTGAAAGTCATTCAGTTTTCAGGTTATATAAGTACACAAAAAAATCAAATTAAAGAAAATAGTGTATAAATGAGAATTTGACAGATTCTTTGCTGGCTTAGTTCTATAATTAAATGAGGCACTGATAATTGGAACTGACAGACTGAAGCCAAAACTGATTTAAAAAATTGACAGGAAGCAGGTTTGTACAAATAATGATGTTCTAAATCTTTCAATTAGAGCTAGCAAACTCTAACAGAATAGGAAACAGAGGATTGTTGTTCTAGCATAGCTAAAGGTTTATTAATTTGTTTCCCCAAGCATGCATGATAAAACAAATCCTTCCTAAAGTACTACAAGGCTTACACTTCAAGCCAGTATTCGGGCAGTCTTGGTGTGTGGTTGTTATTGTTAAAGGCAATGCTCACATATTTCTTTTCTATGCCTGAGCAACTAGACTTAACCTCCTCAGGTGAGAAAGCATGTTTACTGCCATAGCTCAACATTAAAAACAAATCAAAACAGTGAAGACATAATGGCTTAGATTTCAAGAAACCCTATGGAGGCCAGAAGGTGCACCTGCTCACCCCAATGGAGGCCTTTGATTTCTGCCAGTTCCATATGGGCTGAATAACAACACAGTGTTCTACTCTTCAACAGGAGTAAGGGGCAGGGTTAGAAACCCTGTATGTGAGTTGACAGCTACTGGTATTTCTTTAGAGATAGCCTACTGCTTGTTTTCTATGCTCTTGAAACTTAGACCTCATCTGATGTGAAATTTATGATAATATCACGTTTTTTGGTTCTCTCTCTTCCTCCATGCACCCTTCTCTGGTTCCAAATACATGCTGTGAAGAGACTGTCAGCTACTGGGGACTTTATAGCCCAATAGAGCAAGCATTTGGGGGTGGGGGCTGTAGTATGAAGGGGGAGACTGCACTCTTCCCATTTAGCAAAGATTCTGCTCTATTGCAAGTGGAAATCCAATGCTGGTTAAAGAGATATAGCAATTAGTGATGCAGCAGTTTTCCTTGTATAAAAGAAAAAGGACATGTAAAAAAGGACAGCAACTCCATATCATTAAAGTATACGAGAACTAAGTCATAATTGACTTGGCAGCATGCAATATTTATTATGACTATGATCTTAATAATGTGTATATTATTTGTTTATCATATTTTCATAGTTTATTATAAGGCTACAATGATTTATGAAATCAGACGTGTTCATTACCAATGACAGGAACTTTCTCCAAGCAAAAACTGCCTTTTTCATGCTGAAATTCTGTTCTAGGGCCTTATTCTATAAGCTCAACAGTGATGCAAGGAATGTTGAATCCCTCCATTTCTTTTGCCAGCTCACTTCTGCATTTTTAGCTGGCAACATCATGGAAATTTAAAATAATCCTGTTATCTAAATTGCTTCAGCGAGCAGGTCTATTGTAAACTGCTTTCAGTTGCCAGGACATGAAAGCAGAACAGAGTATCTGGGAGAAAAATACAACACACATTGGAAGAGATATTAGGGGTGCAATGAAGGATTATAGAATTTTTTTTTTTTAAAAAAGAAACAATTATAGGAGGAAATGGCAAAATATAATGAGCATGGTATTATTAACCAGGCTGACCATTTGTGCAGGCAGTTAAGAATTCTATTTTGGGAACCTGCCATTATAGGTCCAAATCTGAACTGACCCCATTGAGAAGCCTACTAGTTATCCCAAAGGCCCACCCATTGGCTATATAAGAAATCTACTACTATACATTCCTGATATGAGGCTAATCCTCTAACAAAGGAGAGCCCACCACCTACTTAAGACTGCACTCTCCATTATTGCTCAGCTTTGTATCTTCAGGTATTCTTAACTGTTTAGTGTAAATAATTCTTTTATTTTAATTGAGTCCAGTCTTCCAGGTCCTATACATTGGAACAATAGGAAAAAATGTGGCAAATTTATGTATGTGGGAGCTCTTCAACTGTTTGAAATTTGCTATAGACACGATAGCACCTAAACGCCCTCTCCGACGCAGAGCTCGGCCTGCGCCTTGGTTCAACCAGGACCTCTGAGCGATGAAGCGATTTATGAAGCGATTTAGGAGAAAGCTAGAGTGCAGGTGGAGGAAGAACCCGACAGATTATAATTGGATAGCTGTCAGGGTCACAACTAACCTCTACCTAGCTAAGGTAAAGGCTGCTTGTTGAACATACTTCGCTAACCGGATAAGCGAAGCTTCAAATCAGCAGGCAGAGTTATTCCGTATAGTGCGCAACCTATCTGGAATTGGTCTGAGTGATGGGCCTCCCCCTAGTTTTTCACTGGACCAATTCGCCGCATTTTTAAAATCTAAAGTGGAGGCCATCCGCTGGGAACTCTCTCCTTTTTTAAACACAGTGAGTCGAGCAGAGACGTCCAGCGCTCTGTTTTGCCCGGTGATCTTCGATCACTTTCAGCCTGTGACGCTGGATACGGTGGACAAAGTGCTTGATCGCTGTCGCGCCACCACCTCCTCCCTTGACCCCTGCGCCGCCTGGCTAATCAAAGCAGCCAGGCCTATAACAACTGAATGGGCCACAGTGATAATTAATGGGTCTTTCCTTGAGGATTCCTCAAGGGTTCCTCCTGCCCTTAAGGAGACACTCATTAGGCCCATAAGAAAGAAACCGAATTTGGCGGTGGACGAAATTGGCAATTATAGGCCCGT